AAAAAAGCAAGTTTTATTGCTTCGAAATTTTGAAATTGACTTATGAATAAGGGTCTATCAGCTACTGTCTTCAAAAATGGTTCATCACCTGCACTTCATGATGGTATCCAAATTTTAGATTATCCTCAAATATTTATTGAAATTATACTAGGCTGTGATAGAGCATATCATCAACTTTCGGATCTCCCTACTCAAGCCCAAGGGGCATTTAAACTAGACAAATGTGGTCTCCCTTCCCTTAGAAAATGCTAGGGTATGCATTGTACTCCTAGGAGCTAAGGTCGATGTCCCCCTCCGTCTTTGTCTCTCTTCTTCAAGGAATAATATAAAACCTTCTTGATTAAAAAAAATATTGAAATTATACTGGCCTTGCTACGTAGACGGAAGCATAACAATTACTTTGATTAAAAAAAACTGTATATATATATATATATATATATATATATATATATATAACTTTTATCATTAAATTTTATAAATTTTTTTGGAGGCAAAAATTAACATTTATGCTTTCAAACCTTTAATGAGGGAAAACTAAAATTTCTAGGCTTTAGAGAGTGGGTGACTAAAGGAATGGCAATGACGTGGATATGAGGCTAGGAAACCCTCACCCGTCTCCCTCCTTGTGCTTTAAAAACTTCTCCTGGCTTTAGTGCTATCCCCCCACTTCTCTTACCCCACCCCCATCCGTCTACCCAACCAGGGTGCCCTGATGGGTGGTTCAAAATAAAATTTTATTTTTTATTTTGATCTTATGTTTTCATATATAATATTAACAAATAACTTTATAAATCAATCTTTTGGACTTTTAACTAATATTCAACATTACATTATGTTTAAAATCTACTTTAATCTTTTAAAAGCATTACTCCGTATTTGTTAGCAATTCTAAACTAACAGCTGTTACTATTATTGTTACAAAATTATAAATAATATAATATGTACATAGATATTGGCAAATATAGCTGCATATTAATTAATTTGTTTAATTTATAGGCAAGGATGGCGTGGGGATAGGTAGTGTAGTTTATCCATCTTGTGTTTGTAGCTAAATTTGGATGAAGATTGAGGAGCAACGATTGAGAGGTTGACCTCATGTGACAAGGGTGATATCTCTTCTACTACTTTCTCTCTTGTATTAGATTTCATGTTTAGCGATAATACAAGTTTGGATTTGTGTTTTTAACATGTTTAGTTAAAGTTTATGCCTAGAGTTATGGTTGAACTTGCTATATCTTGTTTTTTATGTTTACTTGGTTATTTGATGGTATTATTTTGAGCAAGTTATTTATCACTTTTGCTTTTCTAATCATGATTAACCGGCCATTAATTGTGATTATCTAAAGGTGTTAAGATTGCAATGAGAATTGGAATTTAACACTAGTTCAAGGAAGTGATAAACCTAGGGAGTACACTCACGAGAGTAGAGGTGCACCTATGTGGCTTTAGTGACTTGTTCATATAATTTCATAGAAGAAATGAACTTGTAGTTAATTTCATAACCACGAGAGTAGGTATGATTTAGCTACAAGTATAGTTGATTCACTACGAGAGTAGGTTTCACATATATTAGGAAATTACGCCATAACTAGCCAAGATAATAGCATTCACTTAACCAGTAATCTCATTTGCAAGAGTAGTAAGGAATTCCATATCTCTAGGAGCTTTCTAGTGCTAATTTTGATTTCTTTTATGTTTATGGTAGTCTAGATAATAAAGGAGTTCGAAAAACACCGGTAATTGCAATCTTCTCTGTGGGATCGACTCTTAATACCCTATACTCGCTCACGATTCGTATACTTGCGATAAATCGCGTGTGGGGTATTTAGGAATTATAAATGTAAAACTTGATTATGGATGAGCTAATTGATATATGTATACCGGCCCCGCGCACGTCAAAAAACATCATTGATGGTTGAGATGAAAGTCAAGTAACAAGAAGTTTAAAACTTTTCGGATTCTTCTATTCACGGAACATAATAAAAGATAGGTGTACTCTTCAATTATTCATGCCACCGTATGTTTCATTAATCAACATTATTGTTTATTATTAATCGAAAGCAACGTTCTAGATTTGGATTATAAAAGAAATTGTTTACGGAACTAGATTATAGGCTGACAATGATGTCTTATCTAATTAAAAAGGTGCTATTCCAATTAATTTCATCCATATTTCACCTAAACGCATTGTTTTAAGGGTAGCCTATGGTACCGAACTAGGTATGTCAGTGGGTCGGATTTTATCCAAATCAAATCCAAATCCAGTATATTTGAGTAGGGTTTAGGTTTAATTTATTAACCCAGACCCTAACCAAATCTAGATCCCGTAAGAGAATCATGAATTTGGGTGGAGTATGGTTTTCTATGATTTAGATCCAAATTCAAATTCAAATTAGACCCTACCAATGCCCATGCAATATTCTATGTGTGTGTGTATCAGTAAATTCAGAAAATAACCTAATATTCTATGTCATTATAATTAGTACAAACATTTTCAAGAAAAAAAGAAAAAATGAAAGCAAAAAAATAAAAGATTGAATATAGACACAGATGAAACTTTGAAAACAAATAGTTTTAGTTGATAATAATTCTTTCTTTGAATTCATAATATTGTGTTCAACATCATGAATGTTGATTTTATTATTTGAAAATAAAAATTGGATGATATTTATGTTATTTTTTAACTCTATATATTTTCAAAATATTTTTACTTTGGTTCTTCATTGTATGTTCAAAAAAGTATTCATGAATACCCGTTGAATACCTAAACTTATGAGGGTTCGAGTTTGAGTTTACTTTTTCAAACCCATAAGGGGTTGGATATAGGTTTGGATCTAACTAAATTTAATAAGTATGAATGTAGATCAAAGAGATCTAAATCAAACCCTATCCATTAAAATACCTATACTATACAATATAAATTAAACCTTGTCAAATCCCTTGGGCCCACAAATTATGTTGACTTGGTAAACCCCTGGATAATTACCTCCATTTTTTTTTATATAAAATATCATAGTTTTATTAAAATTTGCATTAATGATAGAAATTACATCATTAAACATACACAGATATCAAAAAATAGGATAATATGGTGAGCTCTATCAAATAGATCCAAAAAATTCCAAATCTGATAATTAAAATCTAAAAAACTCATCTTGGGCACATGAAGAAAGCAAGTTTTGCCGTTCCAAACTTCAAAATTGACTTTTAAGAGTCTATTAGCTATTGTCCTTGAAAATGGTTCATCACCTTCACTTCATGATGTTTATACAAATAATATTTAATTTTGTAATAATATTTTATAGAATTTTTTTTGGAGGTAGAAGTTAACATTTACTTCAAACCTTATGTGAGGGAAAACTAAAATTTCTAGGTTTTAAAGAGTTGGTGACTAGGAATGACAACGAGATGGATTTGGAATTAGAGAACCCTCTCCTGTCTCCCCTCCTATGCTTTAAAACTTCCTCTTGCCCTAAGCTATCCCCCCTGCCCCCACCCCACTACCCAATATGGGTGCCCAATGGGTGGTTCAAAATAAACTTCTATTTTTCATAATTTTTCATATATAATATCAACAAATAACTGTTTAAATCAATCTTTTGAACTTTTAACTAAAATTCAACATGAAATTAAGTTTAAAATATACTTTAATCTTTTAAAAGTATTTCTCCGTTTATTAGCATAACTAAAGTAATATCTGCTACTATTATTATCTTATTGCAAACATGCAATACACAAAAAAAAATTCCGTAAACTAAAAATAACAAAATCATCATTTTACCACACAAATCATGATATTATGAGTTTTCAAATTATAATGTATATGTTTGTATGTGTATGTGTGTGTGTCAATATATATATATATATATACAGAAGTGGGGATAGTACCGATACAAATCCCCACCACCCGTACTATATATAATATGTTCATAGATATTGACAAATATAGTTACCTATTAATTAATTTATTTAATTTATGTGGGGATAGTATTGAGACAAATTCCCGTAACCCCTACTCCCACTCCGCATTTCTCTCCGCCCCATTTCTGTACCTACGGGGTGGGCAAACTTACCGATCGTGACCCCTCTCCATCTCTTAATTCCCGTGCCATTAGAAGGGCCAATTTAGAATGAAAGTGAATAAAGTTGGCATCCATGCTGCCCCCATGGTTAGGGTGATCTATAGCATTGAATGGTTTCATTTCTAGCTTTGAATAATGATACCATGAAGATGAAGTCTCAAGGACGAATTGTCGTGCCTCAGTCAATCACCTCGATGATGGATCACGCAACAGAGTGTGATTAGGGGCAAGAGCGGTCATCAGACCGATTGCTCCTGAATGGTCTCCTCACAATACTTGGTATATAATTGTCTAATCAGCAAATCTTTGCAAATCATTGATGGTTGAGATGTAATCAAGTAACAAGGTTTAAAATTTTAAGAATTGTTCTATTCAGGACACATGAAAGAAAATGATCTATTTTCCACTTATTTGAACAAGATTTTATAATTCAAAAAATAAATAATAATAATTGAAATTTATAGCGAGTCCATCCTTTCTATTTTATATGCTTATTCTGTGCTATACTTTTAAGGACATAATAGAAAAACCCAAAATTTGAATTTAATACAAAGAGTACTTATGGAATAGCAATATATTCAAAGATTTATAATTGTGCCTAAAATAAGTACAAGAGGAAAAGGTAAAATAGCAAAGGGTTTTTTTTTTGGTTCCCCTTATCAAGATCTGGCATAAAGAGTGACTTCTAATACGTCGTTGATAACACATACAATCACTCATCATTCTCTTTCATATTTAAAAATAGATTAATTTTCTATACATTAATAATGTATACAGTATTAAATCTGAATGCATACTATTTGTTTCAAATTTTGAATTTTGAATTTAAATTAATATTAGTTGTCATGCATTCGAATCTAATAGCGTATACAGTGTATACAGGATTAATTCTTAAGCAATTATACATATTGTGGTGAATGAAAGTTGGGGGAGGCGATGAAGAGGGGACACCATATCAACAGTGTACATAAGTTTCAAAGAGAAAAATCATAGAGGGACTAAGAGCCTAAAAGTCTTCGATTTGGGTCCTCATTGCGTCAATGAATGATTTCCCATCTAGTTCACGGGAAAAAAATGCTTTTAAATAGTCAATCATACTAATTCTTCTGAAAATTGCCGGATTTTCGGGGGTGATAAGACTTGGTGCTGGACCCATGTCACCATTCAGTTTTGGGGAAAAGAACGTTGCAATGGAAAGCCTTTCGCTGTGCAAATTCACAGTTGCCCGATGCTCAACACTCTTGTAAATCCCATTTGTCACAATCTGCATCTCAGTAAAAAAAGGTCACATTATTCCCAACTGTGTACTATGTAGCATACATTCTCATAAAAGTTCAATTAGGCTCAATAATAGGATATGGTTAACAAGGTAATCTTGTGAGTTCACCTATAACCAGTGTTATGCCCCAAAAACATTGGAGATAGAATTCAGAAGCAATACCCTGATAGATCCAAGACATGATTTGTAAGTAACTCGTGTAATTAGCATTGAAATCAAGACAAAAAGTAAATTCCTTTCTGAAAATGAAAACAAATTTGTTGGGGAAAAGAGCAAGTATTTTTTTCAAAACAATGAAAGGAAAGTAGTTTGAATTTTACCACTCGTACATCACAAGTAAGCAATAATTTGGAGGGTGGGGTGTAAGGGCATGTACAATACTAATTTTGAAGTTATTATGCTCGAGTTTTTTCAATATAAGACCTTTTCATCCATATATTTTATGCTTTTTTTGACTTTATAAAGATACATGTTCTATTAAAATAGTTAATATTCTACCAATAAACAACATTCGTTTAACTCTGACAAAGTAGCCAAAGTTAGAAGTTTAGGCACAAATTTGTCAAAAGTTAAATTTTGGGATGAAAGCTACACTTTGACCTTGCCTCATTTTCTGGGCGGTGCAAGTTGATAATTAGTCTTACACATCAACCTAGTGTAGGCATCATAATCGGAAAGATTATCTCTTGAATCCTATTAAAATATGGGAAGGACATTCTAATTTCCATATATGTTCATAATTGTAGAAACCAATTTGAAAATATCTCATAAGGGAGGCCAAAAACTAGATAGATGTTGTAATTATATAAACAGAAAAGCAATTTGAAGAGATTGTTCATATTCACATTGCATCTTGGGAGAAAGGATTTTGAGCATGATTACCTCTAAAATGTCTCCAACATTGACTATGAATGCATTGGGAAGTGGTACAACAGGAACCCAAGCTCCAGCCTTTTTGATTTGGAGGCCTTCCACTTCATTGCCTTGAAGCACTACGGTAAGCCCAGCAGCATCAGAGTGGGGGCAAAGGCCCATCACTAGCTCAGGTTGGGGACACGGTGGATAATTGTTCATCCTCATTGATTGCAGCCCTTCTTGAAAAAGCATTGTCATATCTTCAAGCTTCATTCCTAATGCTTTTGTCATTTGCTCAAGGACCTTGATGGCAAGGATTTTCAATTTCCTTGAGTACTGGTCTAGAGTTTCTCTACAATGTTTAAAAAGTTGTAAATAAAAAGTAAAGAATATCCAATATATAATAACAATGCACAATGCTTTAGATGTTAACTAATTTTTAATGCATGCAAGGATGGATGTTTTATTATCATCTCACGGTGACATGGCCTATTAATTTTCCTCATAAAGGCAATTAAGAAGGTAAGATTTAAGAAAGGGATAATTTCATAAACCTTCCCTAAGATTTTTAACAATTTCATTGAGCTCCCTTAAGGTTTCAAAAATTACACCTGCCTCCCCTAATTTGACACTTTTGGTAACCAAACCTTAGACTTGGTCAAAATTTTTAATGAATATCCTAAAATACCCTCAACTTATAACGTTTGAATTACTTTCCAGAACAATCATAAGATATTTAACACAAATATACAAAAAGAGTGTGAAGTTTTTAACACCATATTTATTATTTGATAAGCAAAGATGACAATAGTTCTATCACTATGATAAACTACTTTTAATGGTGATTTACCAGGGTATGTATTTTTTAATTTGAGAAAGAAAATACAGTCATAATTCTTTTAGAGTTTGTAGAATTTTGGATCGGTGGAACTATCATAGCTTGGTAGCAATTTTGGCCTTTTTTTTTTAGTTAATGTTGCTTTTGGTACCAAAAACAATCAGCAAATAAAAATTAGATCACATTCAAAGTCATAAAAAATGTCACTAGTAAAGCATTTATGCCGTCAATGTTTATATTTTATGGTTTTATTGGCAAAAATATAAAAAGGGGGAATAAGAATAGAAAAAGAAAAGAAAAATAATTATTAATACCATTCTTTGTAAAAGTATATCTAACAAGAGAGTTTTATTAAAATGTTAAAACTAATATTATCATTTTATGTGGGCAAAGGAGGTAAATGTTATTTTTATAACCTCGAAGGAGCTCAATGAAATTATCAGAAACCTGAGGAGAGGTTTCTGAAATTGTCCCTTTAAGAAAAGCAAGAGAGAGAGAGAGAGAGAGAGAGAGAGAGAGAGATGATATAATTTATTTTTTGTCAATCGTCATGATCTACTCTATTCATACTCTAACCTATTCTACGGGGAGACCCAACTGAATCTATTGGGGAATCGACGGGGATTGAATCACCATCGAATCAAACTATTTCTACTCTAATCTATTTTAGGGGAAGGCTCAACTGAATCCATTGAAAAACTGACGGTAATTGAATCACCATTGAATCAAATGTACGCACTCATATGGATTTGAGAAAACCACATATAGTAGCAAAGTGATGGGGGTAAGATTTGAACCTTTAACCTCCCACTCCACCAATACTTTAAGTCATTGGGTGGCCAATAGCCATATGATTAAAAGAAGAGAAATGTTGGAAAACCATTAAGAATGCCTCCAAGGTAAAAAAATAAGAAGAAAAGGCCTATCATGTGGAGACTTTAAGAGAGATAATGATCAAAATTTTCAATCTTTAGGACACTTTGTGGCTGATAAGCTGTCTTTTTTTTTTCTTTCTTTGAAGGGGTGGCTGATAAGTTGTCTTGATCATTACACATGGAATTTTATTGAAGGGATAACATTCGATGTTTCATGTCGTACGTCGGCCCCTAAGATAGTACGACTTCCAAATAAATGCATCTAATAATAAAAAATATATATATATATATATTACGTACACTTGGATATTCTCTGCTACAATTTTTCATGTAACAGCATTTGGCTTGATTATTGCCTCCTCGGTTTCAATTATATGTAAAAGCTTTTTTCTGTTAACCAATTATATGTTTAGTTCTGGCGGGCTACCTACCAGCATCATCAAATTTTTTTTTCTGAATAAAGCATTTTAGTCGTCAATGGAAATTATGGAATACTTGTTATAAACAAATTGTGACCTAGAATAAAAGAATAATTGAGTGGTTATCGTCTTTTTTACCCCTCAACAACTGAATGAGACATATATTATTATTTTTTTAGACAAAACAAAATTCACAAACAGTGATTAAGATGCTGCATAACCATTATCTACATCTTTCTTTATTTACTGTTCTTTAAGATTTAAGACAAAGTACTTAATTACCTCATCAAGTCCTTTATTACTTTGCTTATTAGAAGGGAATTATATAGTTCAAGTCCTATATTTCAGTGATGAAGATTTATTGCGTACTTCCGTCTACCAATTAATCCCTGATTTCCATAAAATAAAATCAATGCAGTATTTGTAATCTATCGATTTCCCCTCTCCTAATTTTCCCAAATCTCTAATTACGACCCTTAATTCATGAACTTCCATGCAATGTTGGTATTACAAAGATAATCGACATTGCCACTGTAGAAATAAAGGAGCAGAGGAGATAAGGAATAAATTAGCAAGCGGTAGTATATAAAGAACCAAATTAACCACCACTGCTATAATAAAGGACCAAAATGTTCATATTTCCATCAATTAAAATACATGAAAGCATCAAACCGCCACACTTAAATAATGTCTCTTATTGTAAATCCAGTTTATAAATCATAAAAATCATCATTACATCTCTTTACAATTTCGATTCTAGACTTTCAGTTTCTTTATATATATCAAGATGTTGACAATTTATGTAAAAGAAAATAGAAAGATTACAGGTACGGTGATTTGCAAAGTTACAGACTGCTACTAACCACTTATTTTCTTAACCTATTACTAGTCTATGATCATCTCATCCCTAGCTTTTAATAGAAAATAAGACAGACAGATTACCTGTTGTTCAATAGTTTAGTATCCATACTTCGTATAAGACATAATGCACTTGTTTGTAACTTTCAAAAGATTTTCATGTAGGAATTTTTTGTTTTGAGGAAAAAGGGATAATTGTAAACTAATTTCCAAATGAAAATAGCGAAAGGATAGTTACTTAACTGGCATCAATAGTTTAAGTCACGGGATCGATCCCCTGCAATCACAAGTACTAATTCTACACACAAAGGCTACAATCTTTAGAAACATAACAATTCTTTTGCGTTTGCTAAAAGTTGTCCCTTCCCACTCTCATGCCTTATACAAAGCAATAGTATATACCAATCTCTCTCTTTGCGTACTCAATAATCATGCGAACATGTGTATGTGCATGTGTACGTGCCAGCAGGCATAAAAGGGTAAAAGAGAGAGGCTAGCGTGTTTATAAATAAATGTGTGTGTATGTGCGAATGCGCATGCGAGCAAGCATAAAAGGGTAAAATTCAATATTTTGCTCCAAAGTCCACACAAGACCAAATAATACATTTTCTCCTCACTAATTCAATTGGATCAATAACTATAGGAAACCTTCGATTGTTTTTAACGCCATGTAATCCCACAAATAGATGCCATCATGTGGATGTCAACACATGAAAAACTGTGACGCCCCACATCTCCCTAAGGCGGACCAAAGGGTATCCGCGGACGCCTGCCCAGCTCACGCCAGGACTCAAGCAATTCCATTCAATTTCAAACCGAACTAATCACTTCGATGAGAACAACATGAATACAATAATGCGGAAGCGTTCAAGCTTAATAAGTCACTTAATGTATAACCAGCACATCGGGTAATTATGAAACGACTTAAATGCAAAGTACACATCAGGGCCCAAACTTTTCAAGTTTACAATTCCCAAAAGTACAACCCAAACCAGGGCCTAGTCAAAATATATAACAGGAGTCTTAACAAAATTACAACGGATGGTTTCTCCATATTTCTCCAAGAGTCGGTCCTGTTAAGGAAAACAAAACTATAGGGTGAGCTAAACGCTCGTGAGGCCAAGAACACACATGCAAGCACTTAGTCAAATAACAATCCCAGATTTAATAAATAAAGCCATGTCTTTTCAATAATCAATCGATCATACAGGAAAAGTAATCAGAAACAATTCAAGGATATAGTAGCTCTCAGGAGCTAAGTTCCACTCGATCTGCCGTTGTCATTCGTATACCTTCCCGCATTGACCCTCCTGTCAATCGGGTCGGTATTTCCATTTCCGTAGATCACCACTTACTTTCCTCCGTCCACCGTACACCCCAAGGGCCCACAATGACCAATATTGGGCGATACTCAACGAGTATGCCAAGCAAGACCTCTTATTAGGTCGAGCTTATTTGTATCTCATGGCTCATCCAAATCCCCGACCAAGCCCATTGCTGGCTCGAGTCTAAGGACGGCCTATGAGTTTGGGCGTCCCCCATTTATTTGAAAGTCGAGGAGGTTCACTCCAACGACATAAGCATTCATGACATAACATTGCATTTTATTCATTCATTCAATACATTTCATTCATTCATTTGAAATTAGAACGAGTGCGATAAAGTACGCACCCGCCCTTATTTTTAAAACTTTCAACAAATACCACAAATAAGCAAGTATCAAAATTCACACACTTGACACTCACCGAGCAATTCAAAAAGAATTATTTTCCGGAAGTTCAAGTGTCCACGGTGAGATCCTCTTGAAGGTCTCCTTGCGCGCCTGGCAATTTAATAGTGGATAATCACACAATTAACCCACTTATCAAGGAAGATTGTACACTAGTACAATCTAAGAATTATTTTGCAAAAAGGAATCTCAATTACACGTAAATCGAGGTTTAACTTGCCTTTTATTATGTACAATATTATTTGAGTTTTTATCATGAAAATCGTAAGCAAAACGTTTTAAGAATATCGAAAGAATAAAGAGTTCTCGAAAACTCTATTTCTTTGAAATTGGAAAATTTTCCAGTTTTATGATGAATCTTTGAAAAATCGTAACTCACTCGGTATAAGTCGAAAATTGGAAAACTTTATACCGTTGGAACCCTCTTAGAGAGTACTATAAGTCCCTAGAAGACACTTTTCCATGAATTGAAGTGGAAAGTGGTCAAAATTGAGCTTGAAGACGCAGGGTTGGTTTTCATGGCAGAATCAAGTTGGATTTCGGCCAACTTTGGAAATTCGGCACGATTCACACGTTGCAAACCGGCCTCTGAAATTTTCAGCTCAATTAGTGTTGCAAGTGAAGTGTATGAAAAAACAAGCGGATCAAGAATCGGAGTTTCGAGTACTGAGATACGGTAGCCCGAAGTTGGGGAAATTCAAGACTGGAGAAGAATTTCCAGATTTGAACCTCTAACTTTAGTAATTTAATTGGGTATCGAAACGAACTCGAATTGGTACCAAAATTGGCAGTATTTCAATACTATATGGAAAGTATCCCTCTATCGAATTTCGGGGAAAAATACCTTCGGCAAGGTAGTTAATTAGCCAACCAAAGTTCAAGAAAAATCCTAAGGCAAACTGCCTTTGACTTTCATTTTCCAAAATTCCAATCGTTTAACCAAGAAAGTTATCCAACCATGGTTCATTTGTGAAATAAGGGTCTAAGATATACCCATGATACCTTTGGTAAGTGTTTAATATCAAAAACATCAACTAACAAGTTCACTCCAAGATTTTGTTCCAAACCAGTCCAAAGATTAGGGTTTTCCAAAACAGAGCAGTCCACTTGTTTCAGTCACAACTCAGTCATTATAGCTCGAAATCGAGCATGGCTTATGCCGTTGGAAAATACATTCATAGAGTTAAAATATCACAGAAGAAATCGTTTCCAAATTCGGCACCCATCTGGTTCAAATTCGGGCATCAAGTTGCTGCCTGAACACTTCATTCCAGAAGAACAGAGTAACAGGACAGCGAACTTAAAACATTTGGTTCGGCTTGCTCACAAAGAATCAGAACGTGCATTATATACCAAATTAAAGCTAGGAATGTCTAGTTTCAAACGCCACTGACGGCACATGATTTCGACATCCGAGGACAGAGTTATAGCCAAAATACTACTGCTGGTCAGAGCATACGCGAATCAGTTTTCCAGATTTGCTGGTTTCGAACAAAAATTCATTTGCCCATTCAAACCTCATTATTTTTCAATGAAATTTTTCACACATCTAATACATCCTACAAACATCCAATTCAAGCCATTAAACCATTAAAAATTGGCCTGGAAATGGCCGAACATGGCAGGGGCAAAATCGGAAATTTTAGCTTCTTACACCCAATGAAGTTCCTACTAATTACCCACCACTAATGCATCATTATAACCACTAAACCAACAATATAATCACCATCAATCATCAAATCAGCAACAACAACCCAAGTGTGGGAATTCCAAGAGCCCACAATCACATTTTTACACCATAATCAAGTAACTAAGTGCATGCATGAGCTTAATCTTGTCATATAATCTCCATAAGATAAGAATCCAAGGGTTGATCATTACCTACTCCTTTGGGTTGCAAGGTCAGAATTTTCGGTCCTCTTGAAGCTCCAAGAAACCGTGAAAGCTCCCCTCTTCCTTAGCTAGATATAATCTCCAAGGGGTTTGCTAAGTGGTCTCCAAGTTTGGTGTGATTTGGATGAATTTTGGTGCATGAATTGAAGATGAAAAATGAAGACAATGGAGAGCTCTTCTCCTTTCTTGTTGCTCGGCCAAGTGAAGTGAGGAGAGAGGGAGTGTTGGTTCAATTGTGGCTTCCTAAGGAAGATTCATTGTGTGGTGCAAAATACATCTCAAAGTCAACTTGAAATAGTGCAATTAGGATGCGTTTGGACTCGATTTCTCGCGCGTTTGGTTCACTAGTGCACTAAACCTCCAAAGCATATATATTCATGTAAATATTATTCACTCTTAATTGTCCCGGAATAAGGGTCTAAAGTCCCTCAAATGAAGTCGCGCGTGTGAAAACGCGTATCGTCAAATTTAACGCTATAACGCGAAACTTTCGAAAATTCTTATAACGATTGCACTACTAACTATCACTTGAATATTTATTCATAAGATTACCTATTTTAGGACCATAGTACAAATCTCCAATATTCCAAGCTTATTGTGCTACTACGCGGATAAAATCTCCAAGTACTATTCACTATTTTTTCTAAACGCGCTCTAGGAAATTAATTTTCGAAACGAATCCTTTTAAAAAATATAACGAAGATATTTTACCACTTATTTAGGTCTAATAAGACTAGAAAATATTCCTTGGAAATAAAATCTAATTAAATAATTTATTAAGCCATAAATTAGGCATAAAATAATAGTTTTTGCGAGTCCTCACATCCTCTCCCCCTTAAGAAAATTTCGTCCTCGAAATTTACCTTGGTCGATGAACAAGTCTGGATACTTCTCCCTGATTGTCTCTTCAACTTCCCATGTTGCTTCCTCTACTCCATGGTTCTTCCATAAAACTTTCACTAGTGGTATCTGCTTGTTCCTCAATTCCTTCACCTTTCGATCCAAAAGTTTTACCGGTCTCTCCTCATAGGTCAGGGTTTCATCAATCTCAATATTCTCCGGTTGTAAAACATGAGAGGGGTCTGGATGATACTTCTTAAGCATGGACACATGAAACACGTTATGAATACGAGATAAACTCGGTGGTAATTCCAGCTTATAGGCTACATTCCCAACTCGCTGAATAATCTTATAAGGCCCTACAAACCTTGGTTGTAGTTTCTTCCCTTTTCCGGACATCAAACTTGCTTTTAAAGGCGTAATCTTGAGAAATACCATATCTCCAACAGTGAACTCCAAATCCTTTCTCCGATTGTCGGCATAACTTTTTTGTCTACTCTGAGCGGTTTGAATTCTTTGCCGTACCAATTTCACCTTTTCATTAGCCTCCTCAATCCAAGATACAGTAGTCGTGTCTAAGATTTTCCGTTCACCTACTTCATCCCAACAAATTGGGGATCTACACTTCCGACCATAAAGTGCCTCATA